ACAACTTTTACAGTCATAATGTGATTTTAATTAACAATTTTATTAATTGTATTTTCATTTTAATTAACATTAAAATTTAATTTAATTTGAATTTAATTTAAATTAAATTTTGCACGAGTTCAGCCCTTTGCGGTCTCAAAAAATTATTTACAAATAATTAAATATAATAAATAATTCTAAGTCCACTGCTGATGAGTATTTAGCAGTACTCGAAACGGCTGCATGGTCAGCCAAAAATTCAATCAGTAATTTTTATTCAAATTCAAAAATTCAATTTTAAAAAATTTAAAAAATGCTAATTAATAAAATAATAAAATTTTATAATTTTGATTGGATGCTGTTTGAAATACTTCTCTATTGAAATTAGTTTCTTTCTTCAAAACGTACGTTAAAAATAAATTTTGTAACAATATCATAAGACCACTGCACGTCCAAATTATGTCTGCTTCAGACATATTTTGGACATATATTTATTTCACATAAATGTCAGGATCTAATTTAAAATTTATCATTCACATATATCACAATCAAAGTCAAAAATACATGTATTTAAAATATATTTTAGACATCAATTTTTTTCAAATAAAAATTAAAATATGGCTTAAAATTTAGATTCAGTTCTCTTAAATTTAGAGAACTGGAACCTGGTATGTGTATTTCTGACAGAAATCATAGAAAGACACACTGCAGCAGAGAGAGCTAATTGTGCAGAACTAGTTGGCAGCAGTCATTGCGATACTGCTATTTATAAAGTCACACCAATTGATTCATGAAAATTAAATAAATATAAGTCCGGTTCTTACCGAAAAAGTAAGTAATAAGATTCAACGTAATGTCAACTCTAGATTTACTTGATAATGACAGACCCAAGCCGTATCAGAAATCCACGATTTTTCTTGAAAAGTTTGGGTCAGGTGAAATGAAGGGAGGAACAACTGCACTTCGATAAGCCAAATAAGCCATTTTCATTCCACAATTTCTCGTTATGGCAAAAAGCATAAATGCATCCATGTGTAAGTGCTATCGAATATTTCAATTAAAATAAACTAATTCAATTAATTTTAAAGAATAATGGAAATACTGTTATTAGTAAACTCAGTTGTGCATTTTTATCACACTTTCATAATTAATTCCTCAGAATGTATAAATAGCACTTTTATTCATTGTTTTGTTGTGTTCCAAGACTTTTATTATTAATATATAATTACTTATGATTTGCTAGATAGAGCAGTGATCTATTGGCGCATCTTTGCTGAGTAACTAGTTAATTGATATTCCTTTAACTAGTTAGTCACAGCTGTTTCCAACCTATATATTTAATTTTTTTATTTGAAAAATTAAAAAAAAATACCAGCGGCACCTGGCTAAGTAGGAAAATCAAAAATAATAATATTACATATTATTGTGTTCACCATATTGTGTGTTCACTTCCACAGTTGACTTGGGTTCGCTCACGCACGACTTTGCGCCACCCACTCATTAAGGTCTATCACGATAGATATGAAAAAAAAACTGTTTATGTCCAAATTCATAGAAAAAAATATACTTTTAAAATCTTCTAATATATACTATACTATACTATTAATGTCATTGTAAGTATAGAAGTTATATATTTATAGCAAACAACCAATTTTCATAACGTTTCAACTTGCATATCTTGGCTCCCACTCACGAAATTTTGAAATGTTTTCAATACAACTCATAACGTATATATCAAATTAAAGATTTCTACAAGATCCTAGTATATTCATTCCAAAGTTCACCATTATCTCCCTCTCTAATTTAATAAAATATATATCTTTTTTACTCAATAACAGTTTCATGTGAATAATTTGACATTAACTGTTTTTTTTCATACTGCGGAAATCAATTCAATTAAAAATTATAAAAATTCCACTTAGACTTCATCATATAAATCTGACATAGGTAAGGCTTATAATTCTCATTTACTTCAATTTTGCTCACATATAGAAATTACTGAAGTCTACATACGATTTACTTCTTTTAATATAATGATATGATTTCAACGGTGGTTCCAAAAATAATTGTTTTATATGACTTTAACGTTGTTCAACATTAAGTAATGTAGATTTATTGTTTATTAAAATTGTTAAAAAATAAATACAAAAATATTGTTAGGGTGCAAACAGTTGAGTGCATGTCAAGTAATTGGGTTGTTCTAACTCCCCCAAAAATAAATTCAGTTAAAAATAATCCCAGGGCGCAGTGACTTAATCTGTATTCAGAAATAATTTTATTTAACTCTTAGAGGCGTGGTATTGTGAATTATGTATGAAATTTATGTATACATTAAATTTTATAGATAACGAAAATGCTTTTATAGATAACTACAACTAGGCTTTTTTATGTATTTTTCGAGATCAATCTCTTACAGGCGTATTGAAGTAGCTCTGTTGATGTTATAACCTTGTACTTTAGTTACTCAAAATTTGATGTTTATAGATGATCAGTGGAATACGAATTATCTAAGTCTATACATACTTTTACTTAAATAATGTGAGTAATGATGATATGAACAAAGTAGGTACCATATATCTTTATGTAGATCTATAAGTATTTAAATTTAGCTGAAAAAACTATTGAAGTGAATATTTCAATACTTTTAATAAATGGTGTTATTTCTTTAGTTTCGCGGACAAAGTTTTTAATTCTCAAATCTGCAAATCCGAATGGATTTGACGAATGGACAAAGTAACTTTTATATTAATTTTTATGAATTTAGAATTTTATGTGCTCTTCAGTTGTTGTAAGTTCTAGGAAGTTTTATGCGAATAATTCTCAGCCAAACACTTTTATGGAATCTCGACATCACAATAAATTTTATTTACCACACAACATTGCCTTTTTCTATTTCCAACAACAATCAAACCATCACTGTTATACTCAATGTGCACTAAGTTATTGCATCAAAGTTGTTGTGGCGAAAACAGGGTTGTTTAATGAAAACTAGTTGCACATCACTATAATATATGATATTTATTCCTGAAAGGATTTTAATGTCAATTTTTGTTTGTTGTTTTTCTTAGTAAGCAGGACTTAATATTATGTAAAATAATCTGAAATTATAAGCGACGTTGTCTTTCGATTTACTTATGAACGTGTTTTTATACCATAGTTATTTAACAGGTGATAAGAGCAATTGAATTTATTTATACCAACTTATACTTAAATACTTGATTTATACTTACACCAACATAAT